GGATGAGGGGAGCAGGAGGAGGAGGAGGAGGAGGAGGAGGAGGAGGATGAAGAGGAGGAGGAGAGGGAGGAGCAGGAGGAGGAGGAGGAGGAGGAGGAGGAGGAGGAGGAGGAGGAGGAGCCTGTGTGCGTCCTTGCGTGCACCCGCGTGCGCGCACGTGCGTGCGTGGTTCCTGCTTGCGTGAGGGCGTGCCCGCGTGTGCTGCGCAGCTCGGACTTCTTCCGGGAGTGGCGCCAGCCCCCCCCCCCCCTGTCGTGCCGAGGGCACCAGGTCCTTGCGCGAGAGGCCCGCCAGCGGGGCCCAGCGCCGATCCACGAATTCCTCTCGGAGCTCCAGAAGTTCATATGCTTGTGCCGTTTGGTTCCCTGGGCTGCGCTGTGCGCGCGCGAGCGCACCCAGTGCCCCGAACCCCAGCGCACCCGGTCCAGGAGCTGGGCGCCGAGGGCGGGCACGAGCCCAAGGAGCCCGAGGCCGCGCGGGCGCCAACCGTGCACGAGGGCACCGGTCCTGGCTGGGCCTCGTGGTCTAGCGGTCGGGAAGAGCGTTTTCTTCGACTAGACTTAAGTCGGTGATGTCCCTCTACACGAGGAATCTTCAAGATTTTTTTTGTTTTGTTTTTTTGTTTTTTGTTAAACGTCGTCCGTTTTTATATTGTATGTAAGCTGTTTCGCTTATTTTCCTCCAAAGTCAGCCTGTAGGAGGACATGCCCGACTTAAGACTAGACGCTAGACGTAAGAGAGCCCTTTCCCCGGAGTGACCTATGGTGCGGGCTCAGCGGGGTCCCCCCCTATCGCCGAAGGTGATGCAATGGCAGCGTCTTGCGCGCTCGTGTTTGGCCACCCCGCGGCCCCCACAAAAGACCGCGCACCAAATGTCACTCCTTACTCCGCGTTTCTTAATAAGCATGGGGGGGGCGCCACCCCCGCCGACAGCCCCACATCGACCCCCGTCGCAGGCAGCCACCGTGCGCCGAAGGTGCTCCGACCCCCGTCGCGGCGCGACGACTGATGGGCCTGTTTTCCACCACCACCACCACCATAAGTTGGAGGGGGGAAGGAGGTGGAGGACGAGGAGGAGGAGGAGGAGGAGGAGGAGGAGGAGGAGGAGGACCCCCTCCCCCTCCAACTCATGGTGGTGGTGGTGGTGGTGGTGGAAAACGGGCCCAGCGGCGACGAGGCGAGGCTGACCCCCGTGGGGGGGATGCCCCCCCCCCCCACTGCTTAACCTTCGGATGCAACTCCTGGGAGGTCAAATTCTGATCTTGCCCTGGTCCGAAATCCGGCTTAATCCCGCTTAATCCCGCTTAATCTGGCTTAATCCCGCTTAATCCGGTCTAATCCCGCTTACTCCGAGGCCCATTCCAGCGTAATAGCCCCCAAATGGGGCTTGATCCTCCTTAATCTTTCCGACGAAAACCTCCCAGCAGTTGCCTCCTAACTTAACCGAGAAACCCGGGGTGCCCCAGGGCTGTCCCTGCGCGTAGCCGACCTCTGCCCGTGCCGGGTCGGGAGATTCGGCGGCGGGCCCGGCGTGGGAGCCGGCCGGGGGGGCGGGCCCGTGCAGGAGGCCCGGGGGAGGGCCTCGGGCCTTCGAGGGGGGGGTGTCCTGAGCTCGGTGGGGGCCAGGCGGGGGGTGATGACTGGGGGGGGGGATCTCATGGCGTGGGCCATGGTCTTTCCCCAGACTTGATGGCGCCTCTTCTGATTTCAGGTTTCAGGCCGTCCCTGGCCCCCCCCCCCCCCTGGGCCGCGCACGAGCTGCCGGCCATCCCCCCCCCTTTTGGACGCCCCCCTAGTGGCCGCCCTCGATGAGCCCTCCCCGGAGACACAGCGAATTTCTCAGAAGGCCGGGGGGCGTAGGAGAAGCCCCGCCGCCTTCCGAGGAGACCTGCTCCTCGTCTCAGGGTCGGGCCTGTTCCTCTACAGGAGGAACATGCCCAGGTAGCCAAAATTAGTCTCGGGACGATTTGTCGTTTATTTTTGGGACTATTTTTTTGGGGGGGGGGTATTTTTAGTTTTCCGTCCAAAATGCGCCTGTAGGGGGACGCGCCCGACCTAATCCTTGTCACTTCACTTCCGGGCGCGCCGCCGAGTAAAGAATGGGGACAAAGATCGACAGCAGTGTTTGTCCATTTCCAGCAGGACTCGCTGTCGGTGCTGCCGCGGACGTTGTCCATTTGAGAGATGGCTGCCTGCCCACCAGCGGCCGCTGTCGATTTTGGACAACATTGTTGTTTGGCATCGTACCGATTTTCTCTGTACCCATGTCGGGCGTCCAAATGAGAGGAAGTCAGGCGACGACGACGATGACGACATATAACGAAGTCGACAACGGCGACGACTGCGACGACGACTGCGACGACGACGACGACGACGACGACGACGACGACGACGACGACGACGAGGGGATTCGAACTCCCTCCCCCCCATTTTCGCAGGCGGGGGGCTTCTCGCCAGGTAGGGGTGGGGGCGGTTCCGGAGATGCGGTGGGGGGGATGAGGTGGGGTCTTACGGCCACCCCGCATGAGAAGGATGGGCAGCTTTCCTAAGAGTACCCCTTGCGTCCTTGCCTCCTCGGTCCAGCCCTGGCCCCTTTATTTGGCCTCGCCCCGCTCGAAAGGCCTCGGAATGGGCGTCCAAGGCCCTGGCATCCTTATCGCGCATCCTTGCCATACGGGTTGACTGCAGTGCCAGCGAAGCGTACGTAGAAGACGCTCTTTCGCACAGTCGAGTAAGAGGTCTTCGGATGCTGATCCTGGACGGGCCTGGGAGGCTCGAAGACCGAGGGCGCAGGGCGCGGATACGTCGCTCGGGGGCCCTCTCGGGCGCTTCCTCCTGCGCGTCCCCAGGGCCTGGCTAGGAGTGAGGGTGCAGCCCAGGAGTGCCCCCGGGCCCCGGGCCTGACGAAAGGGCGGCGACGGCGACGGCGACGACAACGACGCCGACGATGCGGCGACGGCGACGCCGTCAACGACGTCGGCGGCGGCGAGGTCGACGAAGCACAGCCGGGGACGTCTTTGCCCCGGGGCATGACCCCAGAGCCCGGGGCCGGCCGAGGCAGTGCAGGGCGCAGGGGCCGCTCCTCGGTCCTCCAGGACGGGGGGGCGCGGCAAGGACCCGCCGCAGGCGGCCAGGTCCGCCCCCCTCGCCGCCCCCCGCCCAGCTCCCGGGGCCTCGAGAGGGCTCCAGGAGCGCCCCAAGGGTGTGCCCCGAGAGGTGCCCAAGGCGGCCCCAAGGCAGCCCCCCACGGGGCGCGCCCAGGAGCGGCGCCGCGGCGCTCCAGGGGTCGGCTCTGTGGGGCCCGCGAGGGCCCCCCTCCACTCCTCCTCCTCCACCTCCACCTCCGCCTCCGCCTCCGCCTCCGCCTCCGCCTCCTCCTCCTCCTCCTCCTCCTCCTCCTCCTCCTCCTCCTCCTCCTCCTCCTCCTCCTCCACCCCCCCCTCCGTGGCGAAGGTGGAGCCGCAGCCGGGCGTGGTCCTCAAGCTGGCGGAGGTCTCGGGCTGCGACATGGACGCGTGCTACGCGGCGCTGGTGGCCTGCGACGGCGACTTCCACGGGGCGCTGGGGCAGCTGCGGGCGGGCATCCTGGCCGACGAGGGCGGCGCCAAGGCCCGCGTGCAGATGCGCGCCGCTCTGCAGTTGCTGGAGCAGGCGCGCATCGGCCGCTCGGTGGCCCGCGGCGCGCTCGGGGGCGCCTGGATCGCCGCCGCGCTGCTGCTGCAGGCCTTCGAGCTGCTCGTGCCGCGGCGCTTCCTGGAGATCTACCTGGCGCTCCTCGGCGTGCGGACGGACGGGCCGCTCGGCCTCGTCGCGCTGCTGCTGCCCCCGCTGGGGATGATACTCGTGATGGTGCTCCTGCTCCGGGACCTCGACATCCTCCTGAGCCTGCGCTTCTGACCTCCCCTCCCCAGCCCCCTGTGTGGCCCTTGGCTTAGGTCGGGCACGTCCTCTACATGAAGAGTATATGTATACACATATGCACACACATACGTTTACATAGTCATTTATATTTATATATACATGACATATGTGTATATCGATGTATGTGTTTATGTACGACTCTATGAATATCTATGTGCATGCTTGTATGTATGCATATATATATGCATATATATATGTATGTATGTATGTATGTATGTATGTATGTATGTATGTATGTATGTATGTATGTATGTATGTATGCATGCATGCATGCATGCATGCATGCATGCATGCATGCATGCATATATGTATGTATGTATGTATGTATGTATGTATGTATGTATGTATGTATGTATGTATGTATGTATGTATGTATGTGTGTGTATGTATGTATGTACGTATGTATGTATGCATTTATGTATGTATGTATGTATGTATGTATATATGTATGTATGTATGTATGTATGTATGTATGTATGTATGTATGTATGTATGATGTAATGTATGTATGTATGTATGTATGTATGTATGTATGTATGTATGTATGTATGTATGTATGTATGTATGCATGCATGCATGCATGCATGTATGTATGCATGTATGTACGTATGTATGTATGTATATATGTATGTATGTATGTATGTATGTATGTATGTATGTATGTATGTATGTATGTATGTATGTATGTATGTATGTATGTATGTATGTATGTGTGTCTGTATGTATGTATGTATGTATGCATGCATGCATGCATGCATGTATGTATGTATGCATGTATGTATGTATGTATGTATGTATGTATGTATGTATGTATGTATGTATGTATGTATGTATGTATGTGTGTATGTGTGTGTATGTGTGTGTATGTGTGTGTATGTGTGTATGTGTGTATGTGTGTATGTATGTCGGAGGTTGGGGGGTGAGCCCGACGTGAAACCGAGACCCCCCCGACGGGAAATCGATTTCGGTTTCGGGTTCGTGTCGTGCGTGACGTGCGTGCGTGCGGGCGAGGCGAAGCTGCGTGGGCGGGCGAGAGGAAATCCTCCTGTGGCTGGGCCGCGGCCGGACCAAATGCTGCTCCTCCGGCGTCCGGTGCCGCGCGGTGTCCTGCCGGTGTCCCGTTGGTGTCCCGAAATCCTCCTGTGGCTGGGCCGCGGCCGGACCACATGTTTCTCCTCTGGCGGCCGGTGGCGCGCGGTGTCCCGCCGGTGTCCCGCTGGTGTCCCGAAATCCTCCTGTGGCTGGGCCGCGGCCAGACCAAATGTTTCTCCTCCTGCGGCCGGTGGCTCGCGGTGTCCCGCCGGTGTCCTGTGGTGTCCCGTGGTGTCCCGTTGAGTGAGATCGATAGTGAGATCGATGAGGAGATCGATAGTGAGATCTATAGTGAAATCGATATTGAAATCGATGTGGTACCCCGAGGTGTCCCAAAAAGTGGGATCGATAGTGCGATCGATAGTGAGATCGATGTGGTGTTCCGAGGTGTCCCGTGGTGTCCCGTTGAGTGAGATCGATAGTGAGATCGATACTGAGATCGATACTGAGATCGATGTGGTGCCCCGTGGTGTCCCGTGATGTCCCAAAAAGTGAAATCGATAGTGAGATCGATAGTGAGATCGACAGGTGTCCCGTGGTGTCCCGTGGTGTCCCGTGGTGTCCCGTGGTGTCCCGTTGAGTGAGATCGATAGTGAGATCGATGTGGTGCCCCGTGGTGTCCCGTGAGTGAGATCGATAGTGAGATTGATAGTGAGCCCGATAATGAGATCGAGAGGTGTCTCGCGGTGTCCCGTGGTGGCCCGTGGTGGACCGAGGTGTCCTGTTGAGTGAGATTGATTGTGAGATCGACAAGTGTCCCGTGGTGTCCCGTGGTGTCCCGTGGTGTCCCGTTGAGTGAGATCAATAGTGAGATCGATTGGATCAGATGTTGGTTCCCCCCCTCTACCCACCCCCAATCAACCTCCTTATCACCCGAAGGGTGGTCGTATATATATGTATATATATATATATATCTTTCAAACCAGAATTGAACAAGTAGTCAGGTGACGATTTTCGTGACCGCTTGACTACTTTGGATTATTTTTTGATTGTTTTAAATTGTCTTCCAAGGACATGCCCGACCTAGCCCTTGGCCCGCCCCTCCCCCCCCCGACCACAGAGACGCAGAGCCCCGCCCCGCCAGCCAACAAAAAAAACACCACGGCGGCCACCTGCTCGGGCGCCTCGCTCGGTGATCCACCCGCAGGCCCGACCCGACCCGGGCGGGCGGGGCCAGCATTAGGTCGGGCATGTCCCCCTACAGGCGGATTTTGGAGGAAACATCGGAAGTACTACATACATTCAAAAATCGTAAAACATACCCCCCAACAAATCGTCCCCCGATTATGTTTTGACTATTTTTGAAGATTCTTCCTGTAGAGGGACACGCCCGACTCCAGGCCAGGACCAGGAGAAATCGCCCCAGAGCGTTCCAGAACGCTCTCCGAGCGTCCCGAAGCGCTCCGGAACGGCCGCGGCGCCCGATACAGTGGAGGCCCATGCCAAGAAACCCCCTGCTTGCCTATCGGGTGCCCTGGGTTTCTCGGGTTTCGATGGTTTTGCTAAGGAAAGCGTCACGCTCCCACCCCAACAAATCAATCGACGTCCTGGGGTCTCAGGGTTGGGTTTCTTATGGAAGGTTTCTTGTGGACTGGCCTCCACTCTACGTCCTTCAGAACCTTCTGGCTCTCAGCGGTCCCCCACCTGTCCTGGTCCGATGTTTGTCCCAGTCCTGGCCTCGCCTTGCCGACCCAGCCCGACGCGCCGCCTGTGGCAGTGGGCTCGGGCGCTCTCGGGGGAGCATCCGAGTCCAGCTGCTCGCTTGGCGGGTCGGGTCCGGTCGCTTCGGTCAGTCGCTCGCTCACGTCCTGGTTCGCCGCGAAGGTTGGAGGGCCTTCGGGACACGCTGCCGCCGCACTGGTGGCAAGAAATGCCCACCCGAGTGGCTAGACCCTTGTACGTTCCTTGCTCCAGCATGCCTAGGATTAAGTCGGGCCTGTCCCTCTACAGGAGGCATATTCAAAAATAGTGAAAAATAGTCAGGGGACTAGTTTTTGAATATTCTTGACTATATTTTAATATTTGTGGATTATTTGTTCCTTTCGCCCAAAATCCGCCTGTAGGGGGACACGCCCGACCTATTCCTAGGATGAGGATGAATCGCGCACTGGGACGTTCCTGGAGCGCTCTGGAAGGGACGCTGCGCCGAACACATCCCTCACGCCCGGCTCGCAGAGGCTCCCGATCGGACCTCCCGGATCAGTCTTGCTACTCTGCTGAGGCGGAGACGTTTGCAGTTTTTTGGCAGAGACGTCTGGAGACCAGAGCCCCATCCACCGCCAGTGCAGCCGACGACGTTCTTCTGGTATGGTACCCGCGCCCACTTGTTACCGGCCAGAAGCATATCCCTATCCCTGTGATTAGCACCACTGTAGCTCGATGCTGATGTCAAGGATTCCCTCAGTTTCTTAGGGCGCATCCCTAAGATTGCCGCCGCGCCTGGGCTTGTCAACCTTACTTAGGGATAAGGATTGGCTTTAGGCTGGTTACTCTGCTCCGTGCCAAGAGCCTGGGCTTCTTGCCCGCGCGTTCGTCGCTGCCTGCCTGTCTGGCCTGCTCCACGAGGGAGGTCGAGACGGCCGCTGCTCCTCACTTTAGGCCTGGGAGCCCTCTCCAGTCCCCGGAGCCGTCCCGAGGCGGCTGAGGCTTGGCTCCGCCGCATGCGCGGAGAAGATCCGCTGCGGGCCCGCGGGAGGAGGGAGCGGCGAACATGGGCGCGATCCCGCGTCCCCGCGGTCTGGATCCTGGGGCGCGATCCGGCGGATACTCTCCTCCTCCTCCTCCTCCTCCTCCTCCTCCTCCTCCTCCTCCTCCTCCTCCTCCTCCTCCCTCCTCCCTCCTCCTCCTCCTCCTCCTCCTCCTCCTCCTCCTCCTCCTCCTCCTCCTCCCCCTCCTCCTTCACCTCTTCCCTGCCACTGGGAGCGGGTGCGCCCGGTCAGGCGCCCAGTCGGGCCGCGGAAGCGCCTGGGCGGACTCGCGCGCCCACGGGGGCGCGAGGGGCCCCTCCGCGCCTCCTGGCACGGGGCGGCCTCTGGGCTGCTGGCGGTGTGCGCTCGCTCGCTCGTCGGGGGATCCGCAGGGAGCACGACCTCGGGCAGAAGCCAGGTCCTCGGGATGGGGCCGAGCTCGTCGGAGGGTGCCTGCGTGTGTGTGTGTGTGTGTGTGTGTGTGTGTGTGTGTGTGTGTATGTACATTTTTTTCTTTTCTTTGTTTAAATGTTTTTTTTAAGTGTCTCTCTCTCTCTCTCTAAATGTATATGTATATTGGCGTAATTGCGCTCCTGCGTCTGGTGGGGCCGTTTGCACTTGTTTTTGCCCCGCGTTCGGGGAACGAAAAACGATACAAACATACAAACTCGGAGGTCCGCGCGGATTTCTCGCATCCGCGCTGGGGCCCCCTGGTGGCGCCTCCGGATCCGCGCGGACCTCTGCGTTTTTATGTGCATGCATTATTTTTCGTTCCCGTGGCCTGAAGTCGGGCCTGTCCCTCTACAGGAGGAATGGTTAGAAATAGTCGAACAATAGCGGGGACGGCTTTGTCGATTCTTTGTCGCTATTTTTTGAGCATATCTTGAGTATTTTTCGGTTTTCGCCCCAAATCCTCCTGTGGGAGGACACGCCCGACCTAACGCTTGGCCGCGGGCGGCGCGGACTGCTGGCGCGACGTGCGCCGCAGCGCGGGCGCCGGGTCGCCGCGGGGGGTGCTCCCCGAGGACGGCGGCGCCTGCTCTCGTCGTTCGTGGGGCTCCGTGGCGCGCTCGCGCTCCACAGCGCCCTTCTACAGAGCCGGTGCCTCGCCTTCCGGGGGCAAATCATTTGGGAGCCTTGGTAACCTCGGGGGCCCTCAAACGGTGTGATGACCACACCGTGTGGCGAGTCGGCGGGGATTCGGGGTCACCTCCTCCTCCTCCTCCTCCTCCTTCTCCTCCTCCTCCTCCTCCTCCTCCTCCTCCTCCTCTCCTCCTCCTCCTCCTCTCCTCCTCCTCCTCCTCCTCTCCTCCTCCCATCCTCCCCTCCTCCTCCTCCTCTCCTCCTCCTCCTCCTCCTCCTCCTCCTCCTCCTCCTCCTCCCCCTCCTCCGCCTCCTCCTCCTCCTCCTCCCTCCTCCTCGGGTCGCCGACGGCCCCGCGGGAAACCGT